GTACATTCTTATATTTAAGATCGTGTCTTAAATACATATTTAAAAACATTTTAACTAATAAAATGATTCGTACGGATGTTATACATATCATATTATGGTTAAAAATATTTGAGAATTTATTTGAGAATTATTTAAGACAATCTTTAAATATAATAACATACTATGAATAAGCCTTAGTGCGCACTCAGTGCACACTAGTGCAAGCAACCGAATTCGCTATTAGATTTCTCCGACGTCGGTTAGACGTCGAATCGACCTCTACGTTTTCGCTGGGATGCTATGTTTCTGCAATGTTGATGGCCGTCTTAAGTTTATCTTCAGATAATGAACGGATTATTTCATTAGTTACGGAGTATCTGAAGATGAACTTAAGACAGTCTTAAAAATAAGACCCGACTATGAATACCGGCCTATAAGTACTTATTCGACCAATAAACGTAGACTGAATAACCGAGAATGGGTTACCCTAGAGCTAGTCGGACATGCTATAAGTTTTAGAGTATCAAATTAAATATTAATGTAATAAATCATCAAATGGAATATACTGCAGTACATCTTTTGAATGAAGCTAAGACTCCATATATGCGGTGAGCTCCGACAAATGCACGGTGACCATTCAGAAGTCAGGCGCAGATCGAGCCTGGTTTCTAATTTGTCACCGCAAGATTTGCCGCAGTAGACTCGATGCGGGTGATTGTTAAATTCTAGTAAGTAAAGCATAGTAAATATTATGACTATTACGTCGACTTGTATATAGCCAGATAATAGGGAGTTTTTGCAATATCGTCTTTCAGATATAGTAACGCTAAAGTACGTTCCGATATTCCCTGCCAGTACTGCGAATATACAGTTTGTGTTACGTATCCTATAGATTTGAAGTACTGACACTGAACATTGGAACGTACTTTTGCGTTACTATATCTGAAAGACGATATTGTAAAAACTCCCTATTATCTGGCTATATACAAGTCGACGTAATAGTTATAAAATTTATGGCTCCTGCACACAGGACGCGGCAATGCTTGTCGCGCGGCGGAAGTCCGTGCGACAGCCAATCAATATGTTGTTTTTCCGTAAGAGTTAGAAGGTTATTACGGAAAGCAACCTATTGATTGGCTGTTGCACGAACTTCCGCCGCGCGGCAAGCATTACCGCGTTCTGTGTGCAGGAGCCAATAGACCCATTTTACAAACAAGGATTTCTGAAAGTTCAGAAAAAGCAAAAGAGGTAAATTTTGTTCAATATAATGAAATTTATTTACAATTACATAATACACGTGTACCAATCATATTAAGAATTACTAAGACCTCACTGAGCTAAATTATTTTCTGAAAGCAACCATATTATCAATTGCAATACTGCAGATCACAATCGGGAGCGGTGCACTTGGACACGGTGCATTTGGACACAGCCAATCACAGCACCGTGTGATTAGAGACATTTGTAGGGTCCCTTGGAACAGCGACTTGTGATTGGACTGTGTCCAATTGTCCCGTGTCCAACTGATATACACCCTAAAAATGGAGGATAAAGATAAGGAAATTGTTTGTGTATTTGCTCAACTATTAGTTTTATTAGATGTTTTTGGTGATAACGAAACAAATAACTTATATAAAGAAAAATTAGAAAAGTATTTATCCGTAATGATTGGATCAATAAAAAAAACAATACCTCGGTTAAAAAACTATGTGGAAGTGGTTGTACCATTATACAATGATGAAGTATTTAAGTCACATTTTAATAACTTTTCACTTTATAACTTTTGTTTTATTTAAGATCAACAATTTTAATTTTCATATTCATGTTTTATACAACAAAATATGAAGATTTAGGTACAATAAATTTGTGAGAAAGTCCGTTTCCTTCATCAAATGTATTACGTGTTGCTAAAATATTACTTATTTTTTTTT